AGTATTACGACTGTCTAAAGCTGTAAGGAAAGTAGATCTATTGCAATATATCGGTTATATATGTATAAATATTACTGCTGTCTAAAGCTGTAAGGAAAGTAGATCTATTGCAATATATCGGTTATATATGTATAAGTATTACTGCTGTCTAAAGCTGTAAGGAAAATAGATCTATTGCTATATTTCTGTTATATATGTACAAGTATTACGACTGTCAAAAGCTGAAAGGAAAGTAGATCTATTGCAATATTTCTGTTATATATGTTAAAGTATTACTGATGTCTAAAGCTGAAAGGAAAGTAGATCTATTGCAATATTTCTGTTATATATGTTAAAGTATTACTGATGTCTAAAGCTGAAAGGAAAGTAGATTTATTGCAATATATTGGTTATATATGTATAAGTATTGCTGCTGTCTAAAGCTGTAAGGAAAGTAGATTTATTGCAATATATCGGTTATATATATGTATAAGTGTTGCTGCTGTCTTAAGCTGTAAGGAAAGTAGATCTATTACAATATATCGGTTATATATGTATAAGTATTGCTGCTGTCTTAAGCTGTAAGGAAAGAAGATCTATTGCAATATATCGGTTATATATGTATAAGTATTGCTGCTGTCTAATGCTGTAAGGAAAGTAGATCTATTGCAATATATCGGTTATATATGTATAAGTATTGCTGCTGTCTTAAGCTGTAAGGAAAGTAGATCTATTGCAATATATCGGTTATATATGTATAAGTATTGCTGCTGTCTAAAGCTGTAAGGAAAGTAGATCTATTGCAATATTTCTATTATATATTTATAAGTATTACGACTGTCTAAAGCTGTAAGGAAAGTAGATCTATTGCAATATTTCTGTTATATATGTAAAAGTATTGCTGCTGTCTTAAGCTGAAAGGAAAGTAGATCTATGGCAATATTTCCGTTATATATGTAAAAGTATTACTGCTGTCTAAAGCTGTAAGGAAAGTACATCTATTGCAATATATCGGTTGTATATGTATAAGTATTGCTGCTGTCTTAAGCTGTAAGGAAAGTAGATCTATTGTAATATATCGGTTATATATGTATAAGTATTACTGCTGTCTTAAGCTGTAAGGAAAGTAGATCTATTGCAATATATCTGTTATATATGTTAAAGTATTACTGATGTCTAAAGCTGAAAGGAAAGTAGATCTATTGCAATATTTCTGTTATATATGTTAAAGTATTACTGATGTCTAAAGCTGAAAGGAAAGTAGATCTATTGCATATATTGGTTATATATGTATAAGTATTGCTGCTGTCTTTAGCTGTAAGGAAAGTAGATTTATTGCAATATATCGGTTATATATGTATAAGTATTGGTGCTGTCTAAAGCTGTAAGGAAAGTAGATCTATTGTAATATATCGGTTATATATGTATAAGTATTACGACTGTCTAAGGCTGTAAGGAAAGTAGATCTATTGCAATATATCAGTTATATATGTATAAGTATTGCTGCTGTCTAAAGCTGTAAGAAAGTAGATATATTGCAATATATCGGTTATATATGTATAAGTATTATAACTGTCTAAAGCTGAAAGGAAAGTAGATCTATTGCAATATTTCTGTTATATATGTTAAAGTATAATTACTGATGTCTAAAGCTGAAAGGAAAGTAGATCTATTGCAATATATTGGTTATATATGTATAAGTATTGCTGCTGTCTTCAGCTGTAAGGAAAGTAGATTTATTGCAATATATCGGTTATATATATGTATAAGTATTGCTGCTGTCTAAAGCTGTAAGGAAAGTAGATCTATTGTAATATATCGGTTATATATGTATAAGTATTACGACTGTCTAAAGCTGTAAGGAAAGTAGATCTATTGCAATATATCGGTTATATATGTATAAATATTACTGCTGTCTAAAGCTGTAAGGAAAGTAGATCTATTGCAATATATCGGTTATATATGTATAAGTATTACTGCTGTCTAAAGCTGTAAGGAAAATAGATCTATTGCTATATTTCTGTTATATATGTACAAGTATTACGACTGTCAAAAGCTGAAAGGAAAGTAGATCTATTGCAATATTTCTGTTATATATGTTAAAGTATTACTGATGTCTAAAGCTGAAAGGAAAGTAGATCTATTGCAATATTTCTGTTATATATGTTAAAGTATTACTGATGTCTAAAGCTGAAAGGAAAGTAGATTTATTGCAATATATTGGTTATATATGTATAAGTATTGCTGCTGTCTAAAGCTGTAAGGAAAGTAGATTTATTGCAATATATCGGTTATATATATGTATAAGTGTTGCTGCTGTCTTAAGCTGTAAGGAAAGTAGATCTATTACAATATATCGGTTATATATGTATAAGTATTGCTGCTGTCTTAAGCTGTAAGGAAAGAAGATCTATTGCAATATATCGGTTATATATGTATAAGTATTGCTGCTGTCTAATGCTGTAAGGAAAGTAGATCTATTGCAATATATCGGTTATATATGTATAAGTATTGCTGCTGTCTTAAGCTGTAAGGAAAGTAGATCTATTGCAATATATCGGTTATATATGTATAAGTATTGCTGCTGTCTAAAGCTGTAAGGAAAGTAGATCTATTGCAATATTTCTATTATATATTTATAAGTATTACGACTGTCTAAAGCTGTAAGGAAAGTAGATCTATTGCAATATTTCTGTTATATATGTAAAAGTATTGCTGCTGTCTTAAGCTGAAAGGAAAGTAGATCTATGGCAATATTTCCGTTATATATGTAAAAGTATTACTGCTGTCTAAAGCTGTAAGGAAAGTACATCTATTGCAATATATCGGTTGTATATGTATAAGTATTGCTGCTGTCTTAAGCTGTAAGGAAAGTAGATCTATTGTAATATATCGGTTATATATGTATAAGTATTACTGCTGTCTTAAGCTGTAAGGAAAGTATATCTATTGCAATATACCGGTTATATATGTATAAATATTACTGATGTCTAAAGCTGTAAAGAAAGTAGATCTATTGCAATATATCGGTTATATATGTATAAGTATTACTGCTGTCTAAAGCTGTAAGGAAGGTAGATCTATTGCTATATTTCTGTTATATATGTACAAGTATTACGACTGTCTAAAGCTGTAAGGAAAGTAGATCTATTGCAATATTTCTGTTATATATGTTAAAGTATTACTGATGTCTAAAGCTGAAAGGAAAGTAGATCTATTGCAATATTTCTGTTATATATGTTAAAGTATTACTGATGTCTTAAGCTGAAAGGAAAGTAGATCTATTGCAATATATCGGTTATATATGTATAAATCTTACTGCTGTCTAAAGCTGTAAAGAAAGTAGATCTATTGCAATATATCGGTTATATATGTATAAATATTACTGCTGTCTAAAGCTGTAAGGAAAGTAGATCTATTGCAATATATCGGTTATATATGTATAAGTATTACTGCTGTCTAAAGCTGTAAGGAAAGTAGATCTATTGCAATATATCGGTTATATATATGTATAAGTATTGCTGCTGTCTAAAGCTGTAAGGAAAGTAAATCTATTGCAATATATCGGTTATATATGTACAAGTATTACTGCTGTCTAAAGCTGTAAGGAAAGTAAATCTATTGCAATATATCGGTTATATATGTAAAAGTATTGCTGCTGTCTTAAGCTGTAAGGAAAGTAGATCTATTGCAATATATCGGTTATATATGTATAATTAATACTGCTGTCTAAAGCTGTAAGGAAAGTAGATCTATTGCAATATATCGGTTATATATGTATAAGTATTACGACTGTCTAAAGCTGTAAGGAAAGTAGATCTATTGCAACATTTCTGTTATATATGTTAAAGTATTACTGATGTCTATGGCTGTAAGGAAAGTAGATCTATTGTAATCTTTCGGGTATATATGTTAAAGTATTACTGATGTCTAAGGCTGTAAGGAAAGTAGATCTATTGCAATATTTCTGTTATATATGTTAAAGTATTACTGATGTCTAAAGCTGAAAGGAAAGTAGATCTATTGTATTATTTCTGTTATATATGTAAAAGTATTACTGCTGTCTAAGGCTGTAAGGAAAGTAGATCTATTGTAATCTTTCGGGTATATATGTACATGTTTTACTGCTTTTAACGCTGTAAAGAAACTCCATCCTTTGTAAAATGTATGTTATCGATGTATTATGACAGTCATAAGTTGGAAAGAAAATATATTAGTCGTAATATTTCTGTCAAATATGTATATGCATTGCGAAAAATCTAAAACACATTTATTAGCTAGTAGAAAATTATTATTCTTGAATTAGAAAAAGCTAGTATTTCAGGCCACAAAATTCACATTATTGAAAAAAAATTCGGCAATTTATTTTCATTTGGCTAACTACATGTAATAGTACTGATATGCGAGTCAATAGACATGAATGTCTCTGCTAAACACGTTGGGTCACCTACATTTTATGTGAATGACATAACGTATAACACAATGTACGTTACTTTCGTATGCTAAAATGTCAGTAAGTAAACCGATTTGACATCTTGCACATATAAAAAGAAAACTTGACACAAAATAGGAATTCCTTTCGTAATTGTACTCCTAAATCGTTGGCACATACAGATTATTCCTCAAGAACGCTGTCGATTATAAATTTTCAATAAAACATTCTGGTAAATAGTGACAATTAAAACACAACACAAAGAGATATCATAATATTAAATGTTAACTATACCGAAAATAAAAAAAGAAATTCTTAGATGGTGATTCATTTTAATGTTTGTTCATTTTATACTGCCATTTGTTAAGGGACTTACCGTTTTGAATTTCCCTGGAAATCGGTATTTTTGTTATTTTACCTTTTGATATTGAATTTGTTTGGATTATGTGTGATACAGATTAAAACATTATATTCCATGATGAACGAATTGTAATTGGTATTATGCATGTTTAAATCATTTATGAGGGAAAATACATAGTTTAATATTGATACATGAGAAAGATAGATACTTATGAACTGACATACATACCAGATTCATTCATAGGGATGTACTCTCCAGATGCCAGTGGATAGGAATCAATGGTATCTACAAATATAGACTTTACTTAAACGTATATTATTGATATGGAGAGTTATCATTCTTAGTACGTATATATTGTGTCTTATTGGATATTTTATATGTTGCAGGGTATTAATTTGAGATTGCCAATAATAAACATAAGAACCCTCCTCACCCAAAGCTGATTTATCTTCATAAACACGGCTTAAACACATTGTACATAGAAGTTTACTGAAAAAGTATAGCGATGTGGAAAACAAGTTGAATATGGTTGATTTATGAACGAAATTGTGAACTTTGACCTCAATCATATCGGTGAAGGGAAATATCTTTATCCTTACTCATGTCGATAAACAACGTTTATATATATAATAAAACATACTTAGTACCTGAAATTATTAGGTCAGTCTTTACTGATTGCAATTAAAAATGACAAATGGATTTAAAAAGCAACATGCAAAATATGGCGATCCTGATAGATGGTCTTTAAGTGTGACATAATCAATGACCAGGGAAATACTAGTTATTTTGATTTAATTTTGATTTTTGGTGTTTTCACGCCACTTTTAAGCACCGCTTTTGGGCTATTTCGTGGCGGCCAGTTTTTATTGGTGGAGGAAGCCGGAGTGCCCGGAAAAAACCACCGACCTTCGATAGGAAAACTGACAATCCTAGTCAATTAAGATTGGAGTTATTTTGATCAGTATATATTGACCGAATTAAGGAACCAAAACAAACCTGGAATGGTAAGAGCAAAACTCTTCCTGGTTTTAGAAAATGAACTGCAAATATGAGGTTCGGTTTCTGTTACAACCGGACTCAGGGAGGATGAAAGGCCAAAATCATCATATGAATCGTTTCCCGTCGAACAATCTTGGGACGGCTGTTCTTTCTTTGTTTCGTATGAGCAGTCATCATTGTCCTGTTGGTCTATGTTTAAAATATCGCGTTTGTTCAGACATCTTGCACATTTAGAATCCATTTCGGTATGCAAACACAATTGATTTATCAATGGGTCACTGCCTGACATATTTTCATCACTATCTTCGTGAAATCCCGATTCAGTTGAACTTGCGTCAGTGAGAGCTGCATTCTTTGTGTCTCCATTTATAGCCAATAGATTAGGATATAATCCTTTTTGTTCAACTTTCGGTAGAGCTGTTTGCATATTGACTGTTACACTATCTTCGTCGGTTGGATTTCTTATTAGTGCGACTCTCTGAGTATGGTTTCTATCCTGTCTATTCTGTTGTTCAGTATTATCTGTAACACATTTTAAACACCATCAAGTCTTAAATTTCATAGTGTTTGTATTTTGATTTGTTCACAAAACCTATGATATGGGCGAGGGGTGGCGCCAAATATAAAATAGTGAAAAACAGTCGAAAAAGGTGACAATTTTCTAGAAAAATGGACTTAAATGAAATCTATTCCTATTTCAGGCTGAAATGCTTATGATAAATGAACACATATACAGTTTTTGATAAATTAATAAATTCCAAACATTACCTACATAGATTTATAATGGTCTGAATATACGTCTTTATGTTATCAGATATGACAGAAACATCAGAAACATGCAATTTGATGCAAGTAATAAATAAGTTCTAGTTGTAAGCGAGTTACAGTAGTATTATGTATGGTCACTCTGATAAACTGGATGATTCAGAGTTATATTTGTTATAGGAACCTGTGTATTCTTTAAGACTGAAAGTCTTAAGTAATGATTCAGTTGCTGTTTCCTAAATGTATTTTAAAAATTTCCTTTTATTTATATTCCATAATACAGAATTCTTCTCTATCGAACTTTACTAAAGTTTCATCCTGTTCAGTTAAATACTAAATTTGCGAGTTTAGAGAAACATCTTTTTTACCAGTACATGTATGACCACGACTTATGATTTTCTTTGTATTTAGATTTAATGTTTTTAAATTAAATTGACTATTTTTGTCACATTCATAATCCAATTAGAAAAAACAAGTTTCTTTTATTGTCGTCAAAATTATACAGCCAGCGTTTATTTTTTGTCTGAAAAGATCTCAAGCAAGTGACTAAGTGAAGATAATAACTATCGATTTTCTATCTCATTTCGAAAAATTATAATATTAATTTTATAGATCGCATTATAATACAATACTGACCATGACTCCAGCAAATTCCAGTTAAAACGATCCCAGGCTTCCTTATACAGTACACAGATATGGCAACCAAGAGGAACACAAATATAACACCTAGGACTACTATGCTGTTAAAATAAACAATAAAATTAATGAAAACAATTCAAACTTACGTTTTCCGTCATATTTCTAGGTGTAACAATGTGTCAGCCTCGAATTTGTCTAGCGTGTATGATATCTATGTCTACACTACTGCATATACGAACTACGTGTAGGATATCACCAAACATGTAACTGTTGAAAATGACGGAGAAGCAAATTTCAATAAGTATCAACATCATATGTATTTAACCATTGTTATCAACACGACTGGTTGTGCAATCATGCATCACCTTCTTGTGCACCAAAGTTGACCTGATTTTGAGAGGGTTAGTGTTGCTCAATGTATAGTTTCCATGTATGTTTTGTATCAGTATGGTATGTTTCGTTGTAAAAACTACGGCTTTGTCATAATAGCAGAACGCACTAGTGCCATATCGACATCCTATTTGACGCATAGTTTTAGTTGTGTCAAATTTTATTACTTTTGTTATTGTCAATATTTTCTATTTCAGAAAGAGTCTGCTCTGTCAGATTGATACACATCTAAATTTTCGCCTGTAATGCAATGTATTTTATAAATCCCTTACGCTATTCAAATTTGGTATCTTCCAGGACAGAATTAACCTTAATTATTTTTCTTATTGTTATATACCAAGATGTCAAGTTTATCAAATATTCTCTTTATTATTTACTTACACAGGTATTAAAATGTGGTTGTCATTGTTTTTTCTTTCCTGCTGTAAAGCTAAAACATAGGTCAGTTTGTAAATATTAAGATATACGACCACACAAAGAAAAAAGTAAAATCACAAAAACACTGAACTCCGAGGAAAATTAAAAAAGGAAAGTCCCTAATCAAATGGCAAAATCAAAAGCTCAAACACATCAAACGAATGGATAACAACTGTCATATTCCTGACTTGGTACAGGCATTTTCTTATGTAGAAAATGGTGGATTGAACCTGGTTTTATAGCTAGCTAAACCTCTCACTTGTATGACAGTCGCATCAAATTCCATTATATTAACAACGATGCGTGAACAAAAGTGGTGCGGTAAAAATATGTGCCGTTCAACTTCGTACTTTATTTGGCCTATGTAACTTTTTTGATTCGAGCGTCAGTGATGAGTCTTTTGTAGACGAAACGCGAGTCTGGAGTACACAGTTTAAATTCTGGAATCTATGATAAGTTTATTTATATAATTATAAGTCATAGATATCTTTCGCCTAAATACATGTATATAATTGAATAAAAAAAAAGTATTCGTGTATCATCAGCCCAGTAGTCAGCACCTCTGTGAATTATCATTGAGATGGTCATAATTATAAATTAGCAGTTTACAAAACATTGAATTTTTCGATATACTAAGGATTTTCTACACCACGAATAGATTTACCTTTCGCAATTATTCAATGATCTTCAATTTCGTACATTATTTGGCCTTTTTAACTTTATTTTATTGATCATCACTGATGAGTCTTTTGTAGATGAAACGCGCGTCTGGCGTACTAAATTATAATCCTGGTATCTTTGATGAGGTTTTTTGGTACTGTTTATTTTATTATAAATCAAAGATAGCTATCGCCGAAATAAATGAAAATAATTGAACGAAAAATAAGCATTTGTGTATAAAGTGTGTATCTCCTCATATAATATTTTTTGGACTAACTTTTTACAATGCATTATTAGTTGTAAATTGTATCTTTCAAGTTTGGAGAAACTGGCAAAGGAAATAACCCGCAATGCATCAAGTGCTTTTGTGAACTTGTTTAAGAAGGGGGGGGGTCGGAATTTGCCAATTGACAATCAGATTTGAACAAATTGAACTTTAAAGTCGTACATTTTTAGATTAGATAAATATACTACTATTAGTGTAAGCTACAATAAATCTGGTGATGCAGATATATCATTGTTGGGCAAAAGAGGACACTAGAAGTGCCCATTGCATCTTGTCGAGCCTTGTAACTTCTCTTACTATCCTTCCATTTCAAAAGTATATTCAGCTGCTTATTTACTATATAAATTTATATTAAAGATTTGAAAAAGCACTATAATATTTCAGGACAAAAAATAATTCTACCATTTTAATTGTGTCAGAATAACAAACATACATACGTTGAGGGGAGATTGATGAATAAACAGGGATTGGTCTTTCCGAGGACAGAGGTTGCTGCGTACTGTGAATAACTATGGCGGTTCTACAAAACATTTTATGGAATAAACTGAACTAAGACATTAGCGACAATTCTTAAAAAAATAAGAAAGAAAAAAAAATCAAACATTTTGCCCATAAGCGAACATTTGTGTCAAGGTTTAACACTTATTCAGTTGTTGTATTGTTTTTGTTTAAGGGAAAACAGAACTTACAATTTGAACATAAAGTAAAACGATTTTAAATGACAGGTGTCATTGTTTATACATGTGTACAGTGTACACATTCACCTTTTGTTGTTAATTGTTTTGTTTTTCATTTTGTTCGAAGTCTGAGCAAATTTGATGAGAATATTTCAAAACACGTTTATATTTAGGCTCAGATATTGATTACCGGTTTTGTGTACTGCTTCTTGATCGGTACTTCTGATGAACAATCGGTTTGCAAGGAAATAATTCCCCCTCGTAGCTAGTTATTCAGTGCTAGGTTCCGTTCAATTTTTTTTATAACTGTACTGAAATTAAGCAAAACGAGCTCATCTAGAGAGTTATGGCTGCCACTTCAATATTCTTGTTTTGGGTTTTAGTCTTTAATGTAATGAGGAATATTCTTGAAAAGGTGTCGTACGAAGCACAGTACGTTCTTTTCCGTATTGGCATAAGGATGTTTCATATTACTAGGATTAATCCTAATGAAGCGAATGTTTCCTCTTAAGTCTACATCAATGTACCAGAAATGCACTTCAATATACACAATTTTTTTTAAAGTTTATATGCACTCTTATTATGAAAATTAGAAGATGTGGTATGTTTGCAATGAATTCCACCAGAGACCAACATGACGTAGAAAATAGCAATTATAGGTCACCGTACGTTCTTCAACAGTAAACAAAACCCATCTCGCATAGGAATAAAGGACCTGGAATTAATCTCACTTCTTATTTTGTTTTCTTGCGTACGTATTTAAGTATCTAAATAATTGTTTTTGTGTGAGTCAGTTCTTCCAAATGTAATGCAACAAAAGTTATGAAGGACGCATAAAAGGTTACAATACCTAGTTATCTTTAATGGTTGAATAATAACTGCAGTCTGATTTCTGTAACAAGAAACATATTAAAACTTAAAAGCTACTTAATCTTATTCATAGCCGGAATTCTAAAAACAAATGGTTGCTATTGTAAGGAGAGAAGATTTAGCAAAAGACACATAAAAAAAGTATAAACTTTAAGACACAATAGACTGGCTTTAATACATACTGACAAAGTTTGAAAACCCGGTACTGAATCTGGGAAAACGAGAGGAGATAAAGAATTCCGTGGTTTTGTAGTGGCATGATATTACGAAACACTCATACTGTACTTTTCAGTCAATAAATGAATAACTTTTGGCGGGGTTCGTGGTGCTCAGTTATCAGTTTTATTTGTAGTATTTTTGTAGGCTTTTGTTTGTTTGTTTTCCCAGGGTATTGTCGAATTTTGCAATGGTTCTGTCTGGTTTCACAATGATACTGTTGGTTTTTACAATGACATTGTCGGTTTTTCCATGGTATTGTGCAATGATTTTGTCGGGTTTCTGGGACTTATGATTTTTGTTGTTGTCCATTTTATCTCTTTTAACAACGGGTTCTTTTTAACCTTTGTATTAACTGTGTCCTTAACCATATCAATATGTAGAGAGCTGGATTGCTAAACCTTTGGGAGCTCCTAAATTCAACATAAGGTTTTCGTCGTTTTATTTTTTTGTGCATAGGATCTGTCTGTGATTCTCTTATTTGCTGGTTTAAAAAAATCCCTTTTGTTCTCTTGTCTATCTTTTTAACAATACCGTCCGTAGTTGCTGTAAATTCAAATGTTACATCCTTAGATAACTTCGAGTGCGACTAAATGTTAAACTAAATATAAGTCGTTAATAAGTACAAATGAAGTATACAAAATTGTACCTTTTTCTGATTCTCCGACAAGGTCCACAACCAGTGTCATTTTTATAGGTGTTCTCAGGACAAGGAACACAAACTGAAAGATAAAATGTTTTAAAACTTATTTTCATTATTTATTTCTATGATTTCGATAATACCATACAGGAAGCAATACTTTTGTTTTCTATCATACAATAATTTTATCTATATTGCACAGAACCATCTTTTTCACAGAAAAATTCTGTCTGATTGCAGGTTGGCAATTACATTTATGAAGTGTTATCTGACTTATACGGGAATTGCCTTGTGAAAATAAATCAATCACCTTATCGTAATACAGAAAAGAAACAAGCTGCTACATGTATATAGTGATAGCAATACGATAATAACGATTAAGCAGATACCAAGGCACAAAAACCTACAAGAAGCAAGACCAAACATGACTTCAAAAACACAAACAAGAGGCTCATGAGAGCCTGATATCGATCACCTGCAGTTTCAGGAATTCGACTTATTTGTAGATCTTACTTTGCTGAACAATTTTGTCATTTACACTTTCTCTCTTTCTATAATAATATTAAAGATAATACACAATCCAAAACTGTAAAATTTCCTAAAAATTAACTATTTCTGGACAGTAACCCAACAATAAGTTGTCCTTTTGGTCTAAAGATTACTTGACAGGTAGATCTAAACCTGTTTAACACTTTCACCTATGTCAGTTTTGCACTTACTGCTTTAGTTTTTGAGATGAAAGCCAAAAATTTCATTTGATCCCTATGTTCTATTTTTAGAAACTGCCGCCATGTTTTTGAATGGATCAAATTTCTGAATACAATCAATATGTAATACCCTAAGGAACATTCAATTAAAGTTTTTACGTATTTGGCCCAGTAGTTTCAGAGAAAAAGATGTTTTAAAAACTAATTAGACTTGCACAAAAAAATGTAAAAAATAAACGTTTCAAGGGCAATAACTCCTAAAGCAGTCAATTGACTATTTTGATCATTTGACTTATTTGTAGATCCTACTTAGCTGAACATTTTTGCCATTTACACTTCTCTCAATCTATTATAATATTAAAGATAATAACCAAAAACAGTAAAATTCTTCTGATACAGTTTATAAACTAGATACCATAAGGAACATTCAGTTAAAGTTTGAAGGTATTTGGCCCAGTAGTTTCTGAGGGGAAGATTCTTGAAATAGTTTACGACGTCGACGACAGACGACGACAGACGACGGACGACGACGGACGCCAATTGATGGCATAAGCTCACATGAGAGCATTTGGGCCCGGTGAGCTAAAAAACGAAACAGCTATAAGTTGTTAACAACAATTCTAAACAACTACATAGAAAATCCCAATATTTAACAACACGATTCCCACCAAAAATAAGTTATGATCACTTAATAAAGCACTATTTGTGCTGATTGTGTATCGCTCCATATAAATTTAGTTGCGCTGGTCATGTTATAATAGGAAACTTTGGCATCGCAAACAGTAAACAACTCAATGAGTTGTTAGGCAAATGCCAGAATTATGGAAGTCCACCAGAACAACTTCAGACTACTGATGGATGCAGTTGAGGATTACTCCAGCAAAGGGGTAAAGCACAAACCAAATAAAACTAAACTGGTCACTTCAATTGAATTTATCAAAACGAATCGGCATGCATTCAGATGCGCATTAAACATCTACGGTGTACCAATATGCAGATGAGTTGTGACTGCTTTATTCTCGCTTTACGATAAATAGGTTGTTACTGTATCAGACAAAGCCTAAAACAACATTGCTTAAATATGCAAACATTATCATATGGAATTTTTCACTAAAGAACTTGGAATTCACAGAAAACTAGGAATATCACATGTAACCCTACACCATTAACGAAAGCAGGGATAGTTAAGAAAATCACATAATTGTCATGTTTTCCTTTAGTATTAACATGAAAACACGACAATGAAACTTCTGCTCCATCAGATGGGGGTTTACACCTCCCAGTTAATACATTACGCTCCTGCATGTTAACGCCAAACGGACTTCATTAACAGGGATTTTCTCTTTACAAAAAAAATCCTCCGACCAGCGTTATGAGGAAGAACGATTTAAATCGACACTACACGGTCACCATCACAAATTGGTTGATCGGTATGATCTGTAGCTGTCTTAACTCACTGGCTGCAGTTTTCGCGGTCTCAAAAGTAGATATTAATGTAGACGTCTGATCTGTTACACTACAAACCATTAACAGTCTGAAATGCCATGCCTATATCTGTACTTATTTTTACTCGACCAGTCTGAATTGATCTGAAATTTACTTGATATTACTCGACTGTAGTCTGAACGATACCTAACAGTCTGAACTTGTACTCGACCTTTACTCGATCAGTACTAAACCATTGTATACGAGTCTGAACCATACTTGACATAGTCCTAACCATTCTCGACCAAGTCTGAACCTTGATCGACCTAGTCTGAACCATACTCGACCTAGTCTGAACCATACTCGACCAAGTCTTAACCTACCAAGACCTATTTTTTGATTCTATGGATTGTATTTCATCAATTTAGGAACTGTTATTAATACATATATATATATATATATATATAAACAAGTCTAAATTGAAAACAACGTTCAATCCTATGATTGCGTTGGATAAAAAACCGCAATTTTTATACGTGTGCATGCAAAACAAATTTCTTGGTAGAGGGGTCTAAATACAGCACAAACAACATTTTCCAAAAGACCAAAAAGTGAAAAAGTATATTTTAACAAAACGCATTTGACTAGCAGGTCGAACAACGGATGTTCTTAAACCCTGCTGACTGCCATGGCGATTGCCAAATAAACGTATCACAGATGTAACAAAATGGATCTTAATTTTAATCTAATACCAAATAGAATACAAAAAACTTGCGGAAAAGATGGTATACCGCAAACATGAGGTGCAAAAATTTGTACACCATATCCGGATTTCGACAATTAATGTCTCTTCAGTGATGTTTGGAATCGAAACGGTATTTGGAAGGCCATATAATTTACCTCAATTTGGGATTGACTCTTGAACTTTGAAGAGTCGAAATAGGATGAACGGATCATATAAACCCGAAGGCAAATATAATACAAGCCCAAACGAAAAAATATAAACAAGTCTAAATTGAAAACAACGTTCAATCCTATGATTGCGTTGGATAAAAACCGCAATTTTTATACGTGTGCATGCAAAACAAATTTCTTGGTAGAGGGGTCTAAATACAGCACAAACAACATTTTCCAAAAGACCAAAAAGTGAAAAAGTATATTTTAACAAAACGCATTTGACTAGCAGGTCAAACAACGGATGTTCTTAAACCCTGCTGACTGCCATGGCGATTGCCAAATAAACGGATCACAGATGTAACAAAATGGATCTTAATTTAAATCTAATACCAAATAGAAAACAAAAAACTTGCGGAAAAGATGGTATACCGCAAACATGAGGTGCAAAAATTTGTACACCATATCCGGATTTCGACAATTAATGTCTCTTCAGTGATGTTAGGAATCGAAACGGTATTTGGAAGGCCATATAATTTACCTCAATTTGGGATTGACTCTTGAATTTTGAAGAGTCGAAATAGGATGAACGGATCATATAAACCCGAAGGCAAATATAATACAAGCCCAAATGAAAAAATATAAACAAGTCTAAATTGAAAACAACGTTCAATCCTATGATTGCGTTGGATAAAAACCGCAATTTTTATACGTGTGCATGCAAAACAAATTTCATGGTAGAGGGGTCTAAATACAGCACAAACAACATTTTCCAAAAGACCAAAAAGTGAAAAAGTATATTTTAACAAAACACATTTGACTAGCAGGTCGAACAACGGATGTTCTTAAACCCTGCTGACTGCCATGGCGATTGCCAAATAAACGGATCACAGATGTAACAAAATGGATCTTAATTTTAATCTAATACCAAATAGAAAACAAAAAACTTGCGGAAAAGATGGTATACCGCAAACATGAGGTGCAAAAATTTGTACACCATATCCGGATTTCGACAATTAATGTCTCTTCAGTGATGTTAGGAATCGAAACGGTATTTGGAAGGCCATATAATTTACCTCAATTTGGGATTGACTTTTGAATTTTGAAGAGTCGAAATAGGATGAACAGATCATATAAACCCGAAGGCAAATATAATACAAGCCCAAACGAAAAAATATAAACAAGTCTAAATTGAAAACAACGTCCAATCCTATGATTGCGTTGGATAAAAACCGCAATTTTTATACGTGTGCATGCAAAACAAATTTCTTGGTAGAGGGGTCTAAATACAGCACAAACAACATTTTCCAAAAGACCAAAAAGTGAAAAAGTATATTTTAACAAAACGCATTTGACTAGCAGGTCAAACAACGGATGTTCTTAAACCCTGCTGACTGCCATGGCGATTGCCAAATAAACGGATCACAGATGTAACAAAATGGATCTTAATTTTAATCTAATACCAAATAAAAAACAAAAAAACTTGCGGAAAAGATGGTATACCGCAAACATGAGGTGCAAAAATTTGTACACCATATCCGGATTTCGACAATTAATGTCTCTTCAGTGATGTTAGGAATCGAAACGGTATTTGGAAGGCCATATAATTTACCTCAATTTGGGATTGACTCTTGAACTTTGAAGAGTCGAAATAGGATGAACGGATCATATAAACCCGAAGGCAAATATAATACAAGCCCAAACGAAAAAATATAAACAAGTCTAAATTGAAAACAACGTTCAATCCTATGATTGCGTTGGATAAAAACCGCAATTTTTATACGTGTGCATGCAAAACAAATTTCTTGGTAGAGGGGTCTAAATACAGCACAAACAACATTTTCCAAAAGACCAAAAAGTGAAAAAGTATATTTTAACAAAACGCATTTGACTAGCAGGTCAAACAACGGATGTTCTTAAACCCTGCTGACTGCCATGGCGATTGCCAAATAAACGGATCACAGATGTAACAAAATGGATCTTAATTTAAATCTAATACCAAATAGAAAACAAAAAACTTGCGGAAAAGATGGTATACCGCAAACATGAGGTGCAA